TACTACATGAAAATGAAAATTAATGAATACACTGTGTACAGTAATTTACCTGATAAGACAGACCTCAGAAAAATACTTTATGAGAGCTTTTATACTTTTATAAAGCTGTCTATAATGAAAATTAATTAACTAAGGATTTTTTTGCCCTGCCAGGGTGTGGCCGAGTTATCCGGAGTGCCGGGTTATCGAGAGCCGAGTTTTCGAGGTTCTACTGTACCAAGTATTTGAAAACAAGTTGATTAATGTGTTGATAATTATAGATATTGAAATAAATGATTAATTTGAGTTTTAAAATTCCTGGAGAAGCCAGATCACAGAATAACTTGGTCTCTGTATTACCGTAATGTGATTAGAATATCTAAGAGTAGAGCAAGATACTAATTTTTGGGTTGTTAATTGGGCTGTTTGCTGTCAAGTGAGCTCATATTTGAATACCTAGCATAAGTTCTTGGGAACAATGAGAACTTTTTGCTAAAGAACAACTTCAATTTTTGCTCCATCTTTAGTTGGAATCACTTTGTTTAATTTGGATTGTCTAACAATAAAATTCTTTTACATATGTAAAATTAATTTTACTATAAAAAAATGAAGATAACTATGGTTTAAAGATAAAAAAAGAAAAAATACTAAAACCTATTTAAAACATAAACCTGCAAAAATGGAAAAAATAATTTGGAACCATATAATTCCAGTTTACACAGGTTTTACTGTAATATGTAAAGTATTATCTGATTTTTTAAATAAAATTGAAATAATTTGATTTGAAAATTTAATGATATTAACTATTAATCCAAATTTTAAACTATTTCTATTTATTAGTTTGAAATAATTGAATTTACCTTGCAGCATATCCATAAAAGCAATAAATATGGATGGTAGCTAATGATATCAAATCATTGAACAATGTTAACAAAAATGTAACACCTAACATCCCAATTAATGTAAAAGATTCCATAATAAATATAAATACTGGTTTGATGATTGCCATGTAAGCTGGAAAAATAAAATTATTATTTATAAGATAATTAATATAAATATTAAGAAAAATATGACATTCCTTTTAAGAATATATAAAATATAAAAATATTTATGTAATCTATATTGTATATTTAACCTCAATATTACATTAGGGTTGAACTTAATAGTATAAAAATACAAATTCTACATAATCCTTCGAGAAAATTAATCAATTAGAGAGCTATAGCTTGAGTTGACAGTTAAAACTAGAGTTCTTTATCACTTTCAATTTGTTTTCCCAAGAAGTTTACAAAATCTACATTTCTATACTACTGTAATAATAACTAATTGAAATTCTAATTTTATATATGTATATGTGTGGAATAAGTCCAAGTGTTTCTTTAAATACAGCTTTTAAACATTGCTGTAGTTTGATCATGCATTAATTTTTTTAAAATTAAACATATGTAATTTGGTATTATAACAAATATATCAATTTTACTCTATATTTAATTTGATTTTCATTACAATATAACATTTTTTATATTAAAATATATTAGATTTTAATGTGTCACTCAAACTAATACTATTTATTTAATCATTTTTTGAACAGGGTTGGTTAAAATTTAGGATCTCTTATGTTAAATATAACTAATTAATGAATATATTAATACTTACTTTTCCATAAATATATATGATATAAGAAAAAATGACCCAATGCATTATTTAATGGTTTATTTAATTTTAAACCTGCAGGAACTCCCATGAGCCAATATAATAATTTCTGAAGTTCATTCACTACATACTGAAATATATTTATAAATGATATAAATTAATATGCATATTAAATTTTAAAATTTATAAAATTTACACGAGGAAAAACAAAACAAAGCAAAAAAAAAAAAAAAACAACCATTTTCATCACGAGTGTTATAAAATAACACCAATGAAACCTTCAAAATTAAACCAACAAATATATTTTAATATAAATGTACTATGGACAAGCGCTTTTGATCCTAATTGGGATCTGCTTCAGGTCAAAACATTCAATAATAAATTAGAATGCTACTAGAACAATTTTAAATTTTAAAATCACTGGAACGATTAAATATTCAAACAATTATAAAAAAATCACATCTACGTGTTAACATTAACACTAAAAATTAAAATAAAAATTAATGTAACATTAAAATAACATAAAAAGTTTTTAACAAATACTAACATAACATTATTAACATAAAAAATTTTTAGCAAGCATCTTTGTTATAAATCCTAACAGAAGTAATTGACTTTTTATTTCTTATTAATGACTTCCAAGCATGTGAGATGTTTACCTCCTCCTTAAAATTGATACGTTTTCCCTTTAACTTGGCTTTACAAATCTCAAGAGCTTCCAAAATTTTGATTTGATTGGTGTGAAAGGTGCATCTAATGGGACTGGCCTACTATAGTTTAGCTTCCACACAAATTTCAGAAGCATATATTGCTAGGGCAGTGGTCTGCTTTTTGTTACATATATCATATTTATGCTCCATCAGCCATTTTTTAAGAGACCTTTTGGTTGAACCAATGTACATCAGATCTTTGCAAAATGTCATCCCTTCCAATATACTGTATACCCCCAGTGTGTTGTAGGCATTAATGGCATCTTTGCTGTTTCTTAATAATGAATAAACAAACAGGTTACATCCATATGTTATCACCCACCTTCTATTAGTAGCAATTTCTTTATATATAGTCTTTAACCTCTGGTCATAATCAATTAGTATATGTTGGTCTGAATCCTTACTATCACTCCTGTTAAGATTGGAACTGGTGTAATTATTCATTCTCTTAATATAGCCTTCTGCTAATCTTTGTACCACTGTTCTAGGGTAACCATGTGCGAACTGCTATTTCTATGCTGGTTTAGTTTTGAAGGTTTTGTTGGTGTTATTTACTAATATATAATCAGCTGTGGGAAGATTTAGAATTATGAGTGTTATATTTTGAAAACATAACTAAACTGTAAACCTACTTTTACATTCTGTATAACAAATAAGCTAGAGGAATAATACACTAGAGTGTTATATAAACTACAAATGAAAAAACATAATGGTAATTTCATTATTCAAGATTTCCATTCAATATGTTGTTTATCATCAATGACAAGCCAATAATCAAAACAGTCAAGGTATCAACTTGCTGCTCAGAAAAACACATTTGAGTTTAGGTTAGAATTTCAAAAATTTTCATATATGGCTTGACTAAATATATTGAGTTCACCCTTCACTACAGAGTATCCAGCTATTTATTGTGTGCCTGATTGAATCCATGATGAGCATGAGAAAACAGGTCTTCCTTCTAATTTATCAGCATTAACAGGGTCTCTTTTCATAAATAGATAAAAAAAAAATAAAGCACATGAACAAGCAGATTACCATAGAGTCAATTTTATGTTAATTAATTCCAGGAATATGGAAAGAGGGGGTGACAGAAGAAAACAAAGAATGAGTTCTAAAAATTTTGAGTATGCTTCTAAAAGAATATAGTAATATAAATTATCTTTATAAACAGGAAACCACATATAAATGAAACTCTATAATTAAGTTAGATTTTGTAAATGAAATATTTTACCATAGAAAGGACTAGGAATTTTTTACATTTATACATTGCTTAATTTTTATATAACATCTTTGATAAACTTGCCACAGCTTAATTTATTTATAGTAGGCAGTGATCTACTTTTGAGCAATGTCACATTACAGGTGAAGCTACTGGACAGTTTGAGGGAGTGTCTTGCCCCTCCAATGTTGGCAAATTCTACTGAATACTCAGCAAAGTTACACCACAAAAAAAAAAAATAAAAAAAAATAATAATATTTTAAAAATTATTTATATTTTTTAAAATTTTATGTCTTTCAAGAGAAGTACATTGCACACTGGTACATTAAACTATAGCAACTGTAGCAATGCTTTGACTATAGGCTGCTTTTCTTTATGTAGCGAGAGTATAGTGAAAATGATGTCATGACAGTTATCGCTACACACTGCTGCATTATAGTTTTGAAATGCTTTCCACTTGAACTAAACATGGATGCTGTAATCTATCCTTTAATTCCAGTTACAGCCAAAAGTAGTGTTTTAGCTAAAAAAACTGCAATATTTAAATAAAGAGATATAAAGAATTGAGCATTTCTCTTTCCGAAAATGTGAACAAAGTAAAGAGATAGGAGATAGATAATTCTATTTAAAATATAGTATTTTCTTATTCTTTAGATAACTTTCAGAGTCATTTTAGAAAATGTAATCCTTTTAATCTTTCCATAATATTTTTATCAACAGTCACTTCGACTTTTTTATTTTTACAGCATAATATTGTATTATACACACAAGCATCTATTTTGCTTCATATGTGTAACAGACGTAAAAGTTGTTTTATCTTTGCTGCAGCAACCCCTTGCAGCAAATGTTTAGAAATAGTTTGCTGCATTATAGTGCTTCATTTAGAAATGCTTTGCTGTGTAGTGATTGAGCAATGCTGCATAAAAAACATGACCATACCATAACAACAATATGATTATGTTATCAATGACACTTCATTTAATTTTGTTAATGTTTTGGAAATATTGTATAGTGTTTTAATATTAATTAATTTTTATTAAAGATGAATAGTTTTACTTGCAGAAAGTTAGGGCATACACTTTCTAAACCAGAAAAATTATGTGAAATTAAAATTTTGTATAATCTGTATGCATTAGATTTTCAGAAAAGTGAAAAGTTTTTCATTGAATGTTTTTCAGATGTATCAAATAATTGAATAAGGAAATGAATTTTTAAAATCATAATTACACTATCAAATACTTTAAAACGCATAATAAATATACAAATAACTGTTTCAATTAAAGCAGTTATCTGTTTATATAAAATCATAAGTAGGTATTCCAATACATATATACAGGTAACCCCCGTATAATATGGCACGGATTCACTCTAACACGGTTCAGGAATTGGGTAAAACTCTCATACAACATAAAATGTAATAAAAGGTGCTTTCTTTTATACCTCCGTGTAACTCAGCGCGAGCATTCTAATTGTTTTCGTGGGTACTTTGGATGCTCTTTCAACAAATAATCCATTTAATGGTTAAATTTTACAATTGGGAGCCTTCTTTTGCCTCTAAAAGCTCATTTTAGAATTCTAGATTCCTCCACATGATACTATCGATAGTGCGGGCGCAGCCATCTTTCTTTCACCGTCGTTCCTAAATGCCTACAAAATGTCTACAAAGAGCAGTGCACTCCCGTTGCAGAGCGATCGCTATTAATGAACACACTAACAAATTGTTGCCAGTTGATGATGCTCATGCTGAGATCATCATATAAAATGAATAATCCTCTGGTAAAATATTTACTTAAATAATAAATAAATATTTTACCTATGAAAAAAATGAATAATAAATCCGATTTAAATAAGGATTTAACATGTTTTTTAATTTTTGGAACCTAATCCCCCNGAATTCAAATGTAGCATCATCAGGCTTTTTGTTTTCTTCTTAGTTACATGCAAACAAAAAATTTCATTACAGATGATCTGTTAAAATAGAACAAAACTAAACATTCAAACATATTCAAAAATAATATTGCATTAAATATAAATAAATATAACTTAATTGATTATCATTCAATAATATATATCAAATAAACTTTGAATAAATTACATAAACTGTTTATTTCAGAGAAAGCTAAAGTTGATTTTGTTAGTTATAAAAAATTATTGTAAGAATTTGTATTTCATAAATTGTATATGTATGGTACTTGTATTTATTAATTAATTTATATGAAAATTTTTAATAGTCATATTTAATTGTTTTGCATTATTGACAAGACTATGTCTTGTTTATAAAATCGTACTGCCACCCATTCTTACCAGCATAGAGGTATGAAGGAGTACATGTTGAGAGTTTATATTTGGCACAGAGTATTAGGTGCCCAAATCATATGTGCATAAAAAATCCAGACTTGTAGGTAGTCAAGGGACTGAGAATCGAGTCAAAATAAAATACAAAATGGCAACCCTCTTCTACAAACAGGCAAAACAGCCACCTCACCCCACTGAAAGTCAGGCAGGGGAGAGTACAACCCACGGTCATTCTAAGAAGTGAACTCTGACCTTAGGACTGAACACGTAGTTTCTTCTATGTTAAATAAAATCTGTAATCTAATTTTGTAAATTTGAGAGTGCTTCAAATATGACATTAAAACAGGGTTTTATGTCATTACAAGTAGGTTTTTTAACATTATCTAGTATAGTAAAATCGTAGGACCGATAAAAATTTGACGTTATATTAGAGTTGTCATTACATTTGATGACATTATAATCGGGTTAAACTGTACATTGTTTGTGCAAAATAAAAAAATAATTTCGGGTGATACAATAGCCACGATTAGTTTTTCAAAAACGGGAACTTTTCTTATGCATCGACAAAAATTCAACCTGGGCCGACACGAAATTTTGAAATTAGATAGGTTAATTTCATCGAAGATGCATTGTGGACGATCTTGTGGTTGGGCTGGCAAAGTTTGAATGATTGCACCCAAAAGCAGCGATGTCAGAGAAGATAAGAGAATGAGAATGATGACCTGCCTTGAGTATCAAAGTGATTCCATCTCCGAGACATAGTCTTGTCCCAAATACAGTTTTGCCATTTTACTTGTTTATGCATTTATCTAGGTTTGAAAGTTTATTTATTTATTTTTAAAAAATATTTTAGTTCCAAGCAACCAGAAGCTTTTTAAGAATGAGAATTTTCCTCCTGGATTAATTCTTATTAAAGATTTTTTTACTGAGCAACAAGAAGAAAAAATACTTCAGTGTATCAAATGGGATGATTCAGGTAAGTTTAAAAATATATCTGACATTATAAAAAGAAATGTATACAATTAAATTTTCATAAATTATGGTTAGAAATTATAATGAAATGTAATATATATTTAGTGTATGGTACATGTAAATATTCAGGATTACACATGCTTTGTCTTTTAAGTCTTTGACATGTATTTAGTGAGAGGTATAATATATACCAAATGTTTAAAAAGATCTTATATACATACATACATACACCATCTAATATTTCAATACACATTGATTGAAATGCATGGTTTGATGTTGAAGTTGATTATGAAATGCATGAATGACCAAGAATGTAATACAGTAGACCCCCTATAACACTGTTGATAATTCCATGTTATATGAATTCCATGTTGTGCGAGTTGCTTAGATTTNGTTATGGCAGAATAAACAGATGCAAACAGACATCTTTTGTAATTATTAAAATATTAAATTTAAAATACATATTAAACCAAAAAATAATAAAATAAAACAAAATATTCTTGCATTTGTATGAATCAAGACAGCTTCTAAGAGTTCATTTAATTCAATATATTTTTGTATTAATATAGTCACAAGAATTCCCAATAGTACATCCACTATTATGGCAGATATTAAATTCCTGCATCTAAAAAACAAAATTGAGAATTAAACACAACATATAAGTTAAGAAATAATAAATCATGTTGATCAAAATGTACTTCATTTTAGAAAAATAAAAATAAAAATTGATATACTTAAGTGATACAAAGCTATTTTTCTTAATATCTTCAAAGATTGAATTTAAATGAGTTAATCTTCTGCATAGTTGTCCACCAACAGATGAAATTTTTAAGATCTTAGTAAAAACCCTGAAATTATTAATAACGTTTAATTAGCATAAAATTTTAGAATATATTTTCTGAGCTGTTCAAATCAAACAAGTATAAAATCATGCAATTTCTTATATTTTACTGTTAACAAATGAGCATTTGTCAGTATTATCTAATATATGTATGATTAATATATATTTCATCTTTATCAGAAATTTAGGATTTGTATGAAGAAAAAGTTAAGTTTTTCATAACTTAACTACATTTAAATAAATATCTGATTTATCTTTGAAAATAAATATGTCATATTAACAGAAAATTTTTAAAATTTATCAATGAATCTTTTTGAACAGTAAGAAGAAAAGAAGCACCTCATAACCATTAAAAATAGAACAATTAAGGTTTAAAGTAAGATGACTAGACATCCCACTTTTTGTGGGACAGTCCTGATTTTTAACAATTTGTCCCATGTCCCGCAGTGTTTTAAAAAAGTTCCGAGTTTTAGAAAGATTCAGTTTTTGTCAATTATGTGTCATAAACATATGTCTTATATTTAAGCTTCATAAAGATCATTTTGTATCATACATATCAATACCAAGGTATGCATGAGCATTGGAAATAAAGAATGCTGAGCCAACAAAATCCTTTGTGTTTGTGGCAAAGACCAACAGAAAATGGTTTGAGGCATGCAGCTGCAGCAACGGAGCAGTGTGTGTTCACAGGATGTCCAAACAAGCGAACATTTTGTTCATTGCATGTTAGATGGCACAGAGCTCTCGTCTGTCGCCACCTTGGAAAGCTAGCAACTAGTGAGAGTAAGCGCATCGGTTTGCATTATTCTATTGCTAGTGGTGGGGCTGGGGTTCATTTTGGTTACAACAGTATTATATAATAAAAAAATTACAATAATAAAGTGACACTCAAGGCAAATTCAATCAAAGGAAAAGTGAAAGTTTTGCATTCTTTGATGATAAAATTTTGTTGCTCTAGAACAATTTTTTTCAACAAGACAACCATTCCCTCATCAATTTTGTCCCGCTTTACCAATGTTAAAATCTGGTCACCTTAGTTTAGAGACTATATTTAGGAAAAGAATCTGACTACTTTAGAGAACACAAAAATATCATAGGAAAATATCTAGCAGAACAATAGTTGGTAATAATGGATATCAGTAGTGTAACAACAAAATTTTGTATCTATAGAAAAAAGTTTCTTGTATATGTAGAGCAAGTCTGAAGTTATTTTTCCAAATCATGTTATTATTATTGATTTAAGAAATAAAATAAATATTGGCACCTACAATTGATACCAATAACAAGAGCCACATGTAGAGGTACAGTTCCTTCGACTTTTTCATTCCTATGGGTATGGTCTACAGCTCTGATAAGATCCCAACAGTTTCATTTAGAGATGTAACTGTACCTACAAAACTACATGAGAGCAAGCATTTTCATTGTTTTCATCTGTGTTGAATAGTCATCAGACTAATTTGAATGCAACTGTGAAAACAAACAGATCAAACAAAAATGTTACTTGGAACAGGTGATATCCATCCTTCTCACCCCTCTCTCTTTTGTTACTCCTCTTTTAGCACACAGACAGCAATCATCTATTCCAAGTAATTTTTCGGTTCAAACTGTTGTTTTCACACTGAATTTGAACTGTGTAGGTCAGTTAGCCTGATGACAACCATTCAACATGGATGAAAATTGTTTTCATGTAGTTTTGTATTTTCTTGCTGGATATTTATGTGTGTAGTGCTTATTTCAACAGTAATTACCAGAAGATAAATTTTTCAATATTTTTAATAGGATTTAAAAAATTATAAGATTATGCAATTTGCTAGAATTTGCTATGAATTTAATGAGTTATATATAGACTTAGATGAAATAAAAGTTTCCTTCAAATGAATTGTAAAATTCATTATAGTCAGGTAATATTTATATGGAGAAACATGATAAAATATAGAAACAAATAAAACAAATGAAAGAATACAACAGTAAGGGATAACAGAGAACAGATGAAACATATTGAAAAATCCAGGAAGGCTGAGAAGGTAGCAGAAAAGCTATATAACAGAGGGCCCAGGAGCAAATCTTTAATTTTTTAATTTGTGTAATAAAACAAATGATAGATAAACATTTTATTGATTTANACTCATTATCTTGTATAATCTTTTATAACTGCTATTTTATACCAGAGATAAAAATATTATAAAAAAAAAACTACTATTAACAAGAGGACCATCAACCCTTGCTCTCCTTGAATTGTTTGATATTTTAATATGTTATAGTACACTTATTTGTCTAATAAACAGTGAAGTAACTTGTCAATGCACAATTGCAAGATATCAATGTTGAAAGTTTTTTGTTTTGATTAGTACTAAGTTTGTAAAAATCAAATTTCAGGTATGTGTAGTTGAATGTGTAAGATATGAATCACTAGTTAGCATGCTGGATATCATAGCTTTGCACCTCTCTTTTTCCAAACCTTTTTTAAAGCAATTTTTTCCTGTAACACAGTCATGTGAATTATTTTATATATTAGGCCAAAAACATGTTTTATTTATAATCATCACAAGGTAGTTAACTACACTTGTGTGGATGAATCATTTGCATTTAGAAACGATAAATATTATAGTAGAAATGCATTTCATAAAATTGAATTAACCACTTTTCAGAAATCCAGAAAAATTATGAAATTTCTTTTAATTTGCAAAGCAGCATATTTTAAAGAGACTCTAATAAGAGACTAGGTCTAAGATTTTCTTTTTGAAACAATTTTTATTAGTTATCTTCTTAATTATGAAAATTTTTAATAATTCTGTACTTTGGAAAACAGGCTTATTTAACTCATCTCCAATAAAAGATGGCAAGCTGCGGACATTTTTATGATAGGATATATATTTGAGTAGTAGTTTTCTTAGAAATGATGGAAATACTATATTAGTTTTTACTCTACATAATTTTTATTATTAAATTTAATTTTTTCAAAATATGTAAAATTTCTCAGTAATTCCCTCTCCTAAGCAAATTCCATACAAAAGTACACTAATACCTTGGTTATCATTGAGTTAGGTTATTGTCGGTTTTGGTTTTCATTGATTTTTTTTTCCAAAATATTTGTCTCAGTTTTTGTCAGTGTGCTCAAGTCACCTTGCTGTTAATTTTGTGAAAATAAAGGGTAACCTATGCGTTTTCTGGCTCAGTGTGGCGTTATTTCTCGTTGTGTGAGCATTACTCCGTGACAGCCCACCATTGGCCAATGGTTCTGTTCTCTGAACACTGGGAGTTCAGTCATAGCTTCATGCTTTGCCAGGACGGGCTGGCCATGTGAAGTTTTCTGGGTTTTCTTCACATCTGTAACACCTGAATAGGGGCCAGTTACTCTTAAATGGACCTCCTGGAAGGCATTATTCCCACAATGCGACCATCATAAATGCATACAACTACTATTACATGACAATTACATCACGGGGCGATATAGGCTAGAAGCTCATGTCCAACTAGCTTCTACAAGACAAGACATTACCCCACGTGTCTATCCAAATAATTCCATTGATTTTATCTTAATGCTAGTTACCTTATCTTTTATCTTTATGCTAATTAGTCTTTTATATTAATTTTTTGCTTTTAGTATTTAACGCTATATTAATTCTCTATAAAATGTGTTTTTNCCTGAAATAAAATACAATTTTTGGTTTTATTCTTTATAACATTTTTATAAAACATTTAAAAGCTTTGATATTAAAACATATGAATTTATTCTTAAAATTATTTTAAATTAGGTATACCAGTCCATATTGATACTCATTCTGCTTTTGAAGATTGTATTGTTGTATTTAACTTGGGATCTCAGGTATTACGATATATAATTTATTGTTATAATTCTGATGTATATACAGGGGTCAGTCAGGAAAATTTTTAAAAATTGCCAATTATTTTGCCAGTTTTTAATCTTTTTCACGATTTCAAATTATTTATTGTCACTACTAATTGCATTACTAATTAATGCAATTAGTATTACTGCAATAGGATTAGTGTTAGTAATTAATGCAATTAGTATTGCATTACTAATTAATGCAGTGCTGGTAGCCTTATCAGTTTGGAATCTGGAAAGGAAAATTAACATGTTAAGCTGTCACTTAGAAATAGGAATAATTTTTTAATGAATAATTCTGAATAACACATTTGATCACAATGCTTAAACTGTATTTCACAGCTTTTGTCATATCCAAATTTTTTGCTTTAGCTGAAGCATGCTTTATGATTTAATTTCATCCAGAATGTCAAAATAAGTGGACTAAGGGTTTTATCACCAGTATTATACTTGTATCACCATTTTAATAAAACTATTCCCAAGTGGCAATTTTGGCACTATGCAGCACAACTCCTGAATGTAAACAAGGAATCATGTTATAGTTATCTGCCACAAGTATAATTCTCCCCAACATTTTGTGAAAGAAAATAAATGTTAATAATAAAAAATTTGTTTATTTTCAAACTTTAATTGAAGAAGCTTTTCTTGCTAAGAAGCAAAAATTTTACTTTTAATTAAAGAATCTCTATGTATTGTGGATAGTGTAAAATTATTATTTTTGATTTACCCTCCACAAGATAGAGTAAAAAAGCTAATTCAATAGTTATAATAAATATTGTTTAAGATTAAAAATATCTTTTAATTAGATAAATTTATAATATCAAGATTATTTTTTGCAGATAAAAATATTACGTTTAACAAGAATAGTAATAATATATTAAATGTAAAAACTTTGTATCCTGTATATTAGTTAACTACAATTTATATCTTAAAAATTACTTCATTTCATAATAATAATAATCCATTGTCCATTTGTTTTAAGATAGTCATGGAATTTCATCATCCCAATGGCTGTCATGTTCCAATATTGTTACCAAGATATAGTGTCTTAATTATGTCAAAAGAAAGCAGATATTTATGGAGTCATGGGTTTGTAATTTCAATATTACAATGGTTTAATATATTATNTATTACAGGAGTATGATCCATGATTTTATAAAATTATATTGAATTAATTAGTTGGAAACATATGTTAGAAGTTTAGGTTGTTATGTTTTACATTTTCTAATCAATTGCCATTATTATTATTATTATTATTATGTAGCATTACACCAAGGAAGATGGATGTAATTCCAAATCAGAATGGACTTCTTAAATCAGTTCCTAGAGGTGTTCGAACATCATTTACATTTCGCATTATTAGAAGGAAACCTTGTGATTGTGGTAAAGAATATTTTTGAAGTTAAACTTTTTTTCTGTTAATATTTATTAACTGACCAAGCAAAAGTCTTTGCATACTAGAATTTTAAATAAAATGCTTAAATCATAGTGTGATATATGAGAATTTCCACAGTTTTCTATTAATTATAAGTCTTAAAATTTATATTTTCTTATTCATGTTTGTACAATAATGAAAAAGAAATATTAAAGAAAAAGAAAAAATATTTAGTAAACAAAATCAAGAACCTTATTACATCTTGATAGAATTCTAAAGCATTGAATTTTTGCCATTACTTTTCAATGTATTTCCAATGTTTAATTTTAAAAATCGTAGTATATAAATGTTAAAATACTATATTTTAGAACAGTGATTTCCAATCTACTAAGATTACAAACCACTTCAAAAATCAACAAATATTTGTATGACATATACAAATACTCATGCATATCTTTTTGTATATATATATATATATACACACAAGACCATAAAGTATCAGCATTTATCTAAAGTACTATTCCAAACATTGGCTTTATTCTGCAAATTGCTTTTTGCTAGCTAAGTAAGTACAGTAGAGCCTCGAAAACTCGGCCTAATGTGGACCGAAGGGTGGCAGAGTTTGTGAAAATGCCGGGTTATCGGGAATGGGGTTAAAAAAAATAAGTATGAGTGTCTCCTCAGAAAATACTGTACTGTACTTGTATGTATTGTTTACTTGAGAATACCCTTAAACAAAGGAAAAGTACGTCTTTTACGAAAGCATAGAGCCTTTACTACATGAAAATGAAAATTAATGAATACACCGTGTACAGTAATTTACTTGATAAGACTGACCTCAGAAAAATACTTTATGAGGCATAAAACTGTCTTTATCATGAAAATTAATTAACTAAGGATTTTTTTGCCCTGCCAGGGTGTGGCCGAGTTATCCGGAGTTCCGGGTTATCGAGTACCGAGTTTGAGGCTCTAATGTACATAAAGGATTTATGCACACAAAAGTGTAAACATGAATTAATGGCGGGGATTGAAAACAACTTGTATACATATTAATCATGTTGAAAATAAGTAATATTTAGTGACTTAATTTGTTGTGATTCTATCAATACATTTTTAGAAAAATAAATACATACTATTAGATAACGTCTGTACATTTTATGGACCCTAGGTTGGGAAATGCTGTTCTAAAACATAAATATGTTTGTTCTCCCAAATCTGAGTTCTACAAAATTATAAATAATGATCAGAGGTCTAATTATTAAAATAATTATNATTTTCTACATGATAGGATTTTAAAAATCTCCAGAATAATATAAATTTACAAAATGATGTTTTTATATTTGCAAAGACAGTATTTTGCTGCTACAAAGCATTGACTTATTTAACCAATAACTAGGAGAAAGAACACTTTTAATAATAATAATAAAATATATATAAATATAAAAGTTGATTATTTTAATGGCTAAAGTTTATATATTATATTATATTCTCATGGAGAACAAAGCAAAAAATATGTATATGTATAAAATACACATATACCTATATTAATTGTTAATTTAAGAATTCCATTTGTTGCTGTTATTTCTAATATGTTTTATATAGTATTAGTGAATTATTTCTACTTAAATCATTGATTATACTTTATTTTTTCATAAAATAATTTTATTTCAGGTGTATAATGAAATAGCAGATCATTTTAGTCATACTAGATATAAGGAATGGCCAAAAGTTGCTACTTTTTTGAATTCTGTACCTTCTGGATCTCTCTTAATTGATGTAGGATGTGGAAATGGAAAATATCTAGGAAAGCATCAAAATCTTATTGAGGTATTGATATAAACTTCTTAATTTTTTCCAATATTTTTGATTATTAGTAAATCCATAATTGAAAATCAACATGATGAAATGTATTCTAACCTGTATATCAATTGATTATTAGGAGATAAATAACCAAATAATTAATCATTATAAAATGAATATATAATATGTATGCTAAACATATCTTTATATTGAAACTGTTTAGTATAACCCAGGCATGGCCAACATATGGCCTGCAGGCCAGATCTGGCCCATCTAATGAATTTATGTGGCCTGCGATCAATCTTTTAGTATTAGGTTGTGAAGTCCGAATAGCTCAATGAAAAATTCTGATGCCTAAAAAAAAAAAAAAAAAAAAAAGTCAATAGTGTGTTTAAAGTTAACCC